CAACGAGGAGCGCCTAAAGGAACCAAATGATGGTGCGTACGGTTAACGGGCCCTCCTAATATTCTGCACTAGTCTGTTGATTTTCTTCATACTGTATTTGTTGTGTGTGCAGATGAGGAATCAGTGCGCAAGGACACTGGCAGCAGGGTCTCCTTAATTGAGAAAAACATAGAGAACATGGCCAAAGGTAATCAAACAAAACAATATATGCTACATTTAGAAGAGCTGAAAAGAAAACGTTGCAATTTATTTATTTATTTAGAAATTATGGTTTCCATGGGGGTTTCAGCAATAGCATAACAATTTTGTTTATTTTGGTAATAAAACCATTGATCATTTTGTAATTTAGAGTCATTTTTAAACATTTGCATGAGCTGCTTCTTTTATTTATTTAACAGCGGAACTGCAGAAACAACTTGCGGAACAAGTTGAGCTTAGAAAAAAGTTGGAGCGTGAATTCCAGAATCTAAAAGGTAGGTTGGTATATGTTAAAATTCGTTCTAATATATTCTTTATGCTTTCCTAAATGTTTACAAAAATATCAGATCATTAATTCATAATAATTTATTATAATAATTGTTACCAACTTACCTACTTACAATAGCTTGAATTGAAGTCATCCTAAATTTAAATATTTAGATATTTTTACATTTTTATTTATAAGTACTGAAATTTGTCGAAAAAATCAAAATAACTGTTTGAATATAATTAGCTTTTATAAATATGGATACAAATGCGTGACAAATTGCCTCTGCCTGTGAAATGCTGCTTAATAGTTGGTTATTTCAAATTAAATAATAATAGCTAAAAACTCACAGTTCAAAATTATATTGTCATGTGTAAACAAGAGGGAGTCTGGCAAGACATGCAACAAACAATCCAACAATCAACAAAGCTGAAAATAGATTAAGATACGTTTTGCATAACATGGGCACATGAACCGCATAAAAAGTCTGCCAACATTCATCACAGTGAAAAGATTGTGTGGTCATTTGGTTAAATGTTACGCTCTCCACACTGTGTGGATAGATAGTTGGACGGTTTTTCATCTTTTTTTTTTACTGAGAATGAATGGTACAGAAAATAATGAAATACTCCAACAGAAACAAAATACTGAAGCTCATGATAAAGTTTAACATGACAATGATTTAAACAGGGACAAATTAATATTGGAGATGCTGATGAAAACTGATTCTTAGAACGACAACATTCAAATGTCTTGATTCTACACAATTTTAAAACGTATTGTGAACCGTATATTTCTGTTAAGTTTTGAAGTATATTCTAACATAATGTCATATATAAATCATTTTAAGTTTCAGTGCTTTAAACTTAAAAGCAGAGTTAATAAATCAGTCAAAATAATTAATTAGGGTCTGAAACTTTTTGCAAAGCACTATATATTTTTTTCTTTTCTATATAGTATAAACATAAATGTGCCTTGATATTTAATTTACTTCACATTTTCTTCTTAGATGGTTTTCAAGACCAAATGAAAAGGGAGCTCTCATACAGAGAGGAAATGGTGCAGCAACTCCAGATTGTTCGAGGTATGCGTTCAACTTCACATGACAGGATTTGGCTATATTTAATAAAAAAACAATACACTAAACTATCTATCAGAACTGATGACATGCTTTTAGGACCTTTTGTGGACCTTTCTGGAGTTCAAATGAGATTGTTCAGTCCTTACGAATTTTTTATAAGCTACTAAGCATCAGGTTTATGCATTTTCATTGCTGCAATAAGGGACTTGCATAGACAGGGATCTGATGGTATTTACACGTACACTTGGATGCCAGAAAATCCCATGCACAAAACTGAACCAGTTTAGATGAGGGGAAAAAATTTGTCTTCCAGACCTGAGATATCCTTTGTCTCTCCTGCGCAGACACTTTGTGCAGCGAGTTGGACCATGAGAGAGAGACACGTTATACTATTCAGCAGAAGTTAAAAGGTAAATGATTCTAGCAAAGGCAAGCAAATATTAGCATTCAAGATAACTAAAGGACTTGGAAAAAAAAAAGCTCTTGGAAGTATCCCAGGAAGGCACATTGTGACAGTATTCAGAAGTGTGACCTTGAATATTTTTGATAATCCAGGCCAGCTGTTAATTTGTAGACAGTTTATATATTTTAGAACCATTTGAGCCACACTGCAGTATATTATAGCAGTTATTGTCCTAGAACACAATTTTTCTCACACTCTGTTTCTCTCTGTACCCCAACACATATAATCATATGCTGCTTTTGTTTTAAATTATTCATTCACTTTTTTCCCAGAAGCTCACGACGCATTACACCATTTCTCGTGTAAGATGCTGACTCCGCGTCACTGTGCTGGGACCTGCACCTTCAAACCTCCTCTTCTACCGCCTTGATGGACACCTATTGAAGACATGTGTTCATTAGAAATACTGCTGTGTCAAATAAAACGTTACTTTTTTCCTCTGCAAAACACTGTCAATCTTTAGACCTGGAATAAAAAAAAAGTGTGTACTTTAGTATTTTAGCTCTTACACTGTAATGAAGTCATTTTCATTTGCAAAAGAGTGTTTTCAGAGTCACTGTATGTACTGTATAATTTATATAAAGTTCTAGAAAATTGCATTATAAAAAAAATTGACGTCCCACTTAAAAATATTATCATCAGCTGTAGAAATCACTGGTATTAAGTGGCTATGTGCAATGAATATTTATGTATCCTGTGATACCTTTTTTGTTAGTGATAGTTTGTTAAATTAGCTGCAACAATAATTCATGTTTTTGTATATTTTATTTATTCCATGTCCATGTTGGTTGTTTATTCTCATCTGCATATTTGTATATTTTTGATGTAAAGCACTTTAAATTGGCAGCCCTAACTACTGAAATGTGGATTAAATGATCTTGTTTGAGAGTCTGTCTTCATTTTAATCGATTTCCATAACAATGAACTACATTTGCATCTGTATAAGTCCCAAAGAACAACATGACATTGATATCAAAATCTTAGTTTGAATATTCCTGCACATATTTCCATGAAAATGACTATCATGATGACAGTTTTGATCAGTGCAGAAATCCAAGCATTTGTTAAAAATATAAATTGCTGTTTTGTACATACTGTAGTGTAGCATATACATATTGACTGAGTGAATTTATGATCTCCCCTTTGTTAGACATTCCTTTTTGGTTTATTGAGCTGACTATATTTACTAACTATTATAATTATATAATCAAAAGTTGTATGCAATCAATAATTTTTTTCCCATTTATTCATGTCTTTTGTTGAGTTTATATTTACCGTCTGAAAGATGATTGCGATACTTATTCATACCCTTACGCTGTACTTCATTTATTGATTTTTATATACTGTAAATAATTAAGTATTTTTTGTAAAGAAGAAATAGTTTTTAGTCATCATAATTTTGTTTTTTGTTTAATGCACATATAAGCAGCATGAGACTGGTGTCCCTACATCTAAAGGCCAACTATGGGTCATGAAGGCCAATGGCACAAGTATCCACTAACACTAATTCTTAGCATTTGTAACTGATTTTACAACTCCATTAGTTTCCATCTCCATGTATTGTTTCAGCTGGTTCACGACAACAACCTTGAAGATGAGAAGGTATTGTTTGGTTCTTTCCTCTTAGCCCATCAGCTTCCACAGAACATGTATTCATGGACAACATCACAAATAATGAGACCCCACTTATCAACTCATGAAACGTTGGGTAAAAAGAAATGTTCTGTCTTCATAATTACTGCTATTATGTAGTCAGCGGTATAGGTTTCTAGAACTTTGCTATTTTAGAATCTTAATAGGCCGCATAAATTGATTTTAGCAGTTGTGCCTAAATTGGCAATCTGTATTGCTGACTTCTGCTTGTAGAATTGGTTAGGGTTAGGAAGACTGTAACTCTGACTCTAACTACTGTCTATTGGACAAGCTGTTTTCCCCCAAAATAAACATATTACTATCTTCACTGGTTTATCAGTTTAATTCTTTGCAATTATCCAGCACAGATAAGCAGAATAATTATGTGCAGAATAATCATCATAATGGCTTTGTTCTGACACAATGAAAAACCCAAACTATTTGATGATAATACAAATTATAAAAAGAAACTGCGTAAATATAATAAATCCTTATGCCCTCATGAGTCTGACTGCACTTTACTACAGGAAAAGGAAAGGCGGCGTCCACTAAGGGACGGAGTTACAATAAAAGGTGTGAGCCTGCCATCTAGTGGACACAAATCATGTTAGTAATACCAGACTCGAAATAGGATTCAAAATAGTTTTGTTGGTCATTACATTCTTTAAAAAATCCGAAATATTTTCAAACAAGCCTTGCTGTATAAAACTAAAAATCAAATTCGCTTGGTTCTTTAACTTGTCTGCTTAAAAGCGATCTTACAGAGTGTTTGATTCACCTCACACACACATGAATTTTTTTTCTTTTTACTGATGGGATAAAAAGTAAATAGCAAATAGCCAAACAGCAGAAATGTTACAAACTAGATGTTTACGATTTGATAAGTTATCAACTCACATATCAGCATTTTATTTTTATTTATCAAAATCAGACGAAAGATGTAAAGGATTTTAGCATTGTTTAATGTAAATGCTATATTTGGTTTTGACTTTGAAAGATGAATCATCGTTGCAACAAAGTGCACGTGATTACAAAATTAGAACATGGCATAATCCCGTTTTTTTTATTCATGTTCTATGAAACGAACTGTTCGAAAGAACCGATTTGTGGAAATGACTCGGACTTCCCATAACTGATCAGATGACAAAACCGAATGCAAATTGCATGTGATTATCTGGAAAGAAAGAAAGTACCGTTACATTTTTTTGTTTAATCAATACAGCAACACATTTCTGGATTTTATAACATGATTAATCTAACAAGCGAGAGCGTTTCGTTACATGAGACCTTGTCGCTGATGAACGATGCCATGTTTTCCATTCAAGCAGTGTGAAATCGCGTAATCCGCGCGCTAATGTTTGAACTAGAGAGGGATTCCTGAACGTTTGAACAAACTCGAGTATTGGTCACGTGCCAAGGCTCTGATCACGCTTGCGCCAGAGAAACAAGATGGCGGAGAGTGCGGAATTGAAGGTAAAGTGTAACCCGCAATTTACTTTCAATACAGCCTTTATACAAGACCTGTTCGGCAATGTTTTCCGTCCGACCTGTTTCTGCGATTGACTTTTGAAAGAAGCGACGTTCCGTATTTGATTTAAAGGCGCTTTATGAGCAGTTTTGAACCCGGTTAAAGGAACACTGTTATTGTTGTGATGGATCCAGTTAGCTGCCAGCTAACCCGCACAGCTGTCTGCCTGCTCGTGTGAAGTTAGCCCTCTTCCATCTGAATTAAGATATTAATACTGTTAATTGTTCTTTTAACGTTTAAATTAAGTGATTAAATAGTCCATGGATCGTCAGAGGAGTCAGTCGTAAGTGTGAAGCTGCATGTGGGCGGTGCGTAGGCTGCTAACAGCCTGGAGATTCGGTACTTTGACAGACTTCTCTTAACCTGATGCATTTATAAAAGCAGACAACTGCTCAGTCCCATAACCTAGATATATGACAACCAAGACTGAATTTTGGGCTTCACAGACACGTTTGAACCTTTGAATTGAGTGTGTGACATCCAAAAATGCCGTCTTTGTGTTTACACAGCACCAGATTTTGAGACGCAGCCATCGACCACGGGCTGTTTCTTTTAGTTTCACTGTGATTTAGTAGGACGTTCGTTTAAAGTTGGTGTATGTTTAGCTGGTGATGCTGTGAGATCCGTTGTCCTGCATTTAGACAATATGTGAAGACATTTTAATGTGTCTTCTGTCATTGTTGTTTATCTTGATGTGATCGTTTGAGTCACACCAATGTTGTCGTGATTTATTCATGACTTGGATTGCTAGTGATATTAAAATAAATTTGGTCAGCTGTTTGTTGTTGTACTATACTGTTAGTTCTTGTGGAGAGGAACATCTAGACCTCTAAACTGGCTCTGATTCTGTACTGTCAAAAGAGTTAGGGATCAGACCATTTAGCTACAGTCTTTTCCAAATAGGGCTGCAACAAACGATTATTTTGATAGTCGATTAACCTAACGATTATTACAACGATTAATCGACAAATCCTTGATTATTTCACCAATTAATCAGTAGGCTTTGTTCTATTATTCTCCTTTTACAATTAGTTAAAATACTGAATACACATATTCTAACTAATAACAAGGTAAAAACCAGGTAATTACTTCAACTTTGAAGTGAATGTCAAATGTCAAACAATTATATTACTATTGTACAATTGCAGTTATTTTTTACAATACAAATAAATATATTTGGCACACAAAATGAGATGACAGAGACTTTCTCATTCACCTTTTAATTAACTGTATGCTGAAGTAATTGTCTGACTGAATGATGCATCATTCTGCCTAACATCTCCTTTTGAAAGTCATATATGGTACAAAATAAAGTGCCAAGACATTTTTTTTTTCGATAAATTATTTTATTCACAACATTAGCTCTCATAAAACACATTATAGTGTTATAGTAATCAATGCAGTCCTGAGCTAGATCAAGCTTTAATATTTGCAAACCAAACTATCACTTTAATGTAATTATGTTCTATTTATTTTAGGCATGGGCCGATTACCGGTTTCAAGGTATACCGCGATTTGAAAATTTCACGGTTTCAAAACCACTAATATTTTCCGTTATACCGTTCCTGCGGTATGCGCTGTTTTTCATATCTCCTCAAAGACTGAAAGTGTAGGAATCCCTCAGGTTGAGTGTAGTCAGTGTTGAGAGTAACACGACCCTCCTCCTCCTGTTGGTGCGAGCGAGCGGTCAGTCGCGTGTGTGTAGGATGGCCGAACTTAAGGAGCTGCCCCTGGAACTTGCGCGATCGGCAACCGGCCGTTTTTTTTGTCTTATTGCAACTCTTCTCTGTTCTGGACTTGCACAAACTGCGTTGCAATGCAGTAATTTTCCAAAATGTAATTTATGTGAAAATATGAAGTCTGTAAACGCCCGTTAACACAGGCCAGAGACGCTGAAGACGGACGCACAGAGAAAAATA